AATGGCCGAAGATGGTAAACAATATCAAGTTTCTCGAGTTTCCAAGTGAAAAGGCTGAAAGAAGAGGAATGAAAAGGAAAAATCAGAAATGATGAAAATGATGAAACTTCCTTTACTGTTTAACCCTGAAAGGAAATGCTATTGTCACGTGTACATGTGCCCAAGTGTTGCTATATATGAATGAGTGAGTGTTTTTATTTATGATATTGAATGAAAAAAAAATTGATTATAAACAGAAAGAAGAAGAAGAAGACAAAGTTGAAGGAAAGTATCAATAGCAATATGCAATATGATATGTAAATGAAACTCTTGAAGGGACGCAAATTTTGCATTTAAAAATGGCGTAAACAGTTTGTAGTCCAAAGTTTCCAGAGACTTGGACAGATTAAACTTAATCCTATCTCAATATTTCATTGTAACAGCTTCATTATTATACAATTTACAGAGATTTTTCTTCATCTTCATCTTCCCATTAGACTCTTGAACCTTCTTTTTGCTTCATCTGTTCATTCCTTGTGTGTTCATCAATCACTTTACCTGAAAACCCAAACATTTTAACCAATTCTTATTCTAATTAATCAGTTATTATTCAACCTTTTTTTTCATCTTCAAGGGTCAATCTACCTTTTCATCTCTTCTTCTTGGTTAAGTTTTCTCTATTCACTATTCAAGATTGTTCACCAAAAGAAAAAAAACTATTCAAGTAGTAATTAATACCCTCTTAACACACCCTGAATTACCTTTCAAAGGTATCTTCTTCTTCTTCTTCTCCATCAGCTGATTTTGAATGCAAAAATCTGCCCACATCCGTTGCTGTGCAAAATGAAAAATCTGTTTGTACATTTGTAGGCAAAGTATTTATAGTTATGTTTGTTTGCAACTTGAAAAAAATGTTGATGCAAAATAAACACAAAAAATAACTTTATTCACTCATTTCACATTGTTATTAAGTGATCAACTTTGTTGGCCTTTACGATGGCAAATAAATGAGCAATCAAGTGGCCTATGAAGATGGTGAAATGCAAGTTGAAATGGTTTCATCCATCAGCTTATCCATCATCCTTGATTGTATTAAGGTCAACGGAAGCTTTAACTTCTTCTTTTTTCTCAGCTTCGAAAAACTCTTTTCATTTGTTTTTTTTGTGTTGTTTTTGGGTACACTTTTTATGGGATGAAAAAATGCTGAAAGGAAAGAAACGAGATTTTTCAATTTGCATCCTCATCCTTGTTGATTATCATTCACACTGAGCTGATGCTTCAACAAGCTGATCACAATAAAATTGCCAAAAGAAACAAAAAATAACCATCAAAGTAGGCAACAACAACAGTAGCAGCAAAAAGAGGTCAACATGGTTCAGACTAAGCCGATTTTCATGTTGATACTTGTACAGATTATTTATTGAAAGGCAGGAAATATGATTGAAAGACACTTGCTGAAATCAACACTTCACTAATCTTAATCTATTTATTCACCATTTTTTGCCTTAAAAATACTTTTCTTTATTGGATAACTTTATAGCCATTGCATATGGTTGGATATAAAAGATTGGTGATAAAAGGCCAAAAATTCTGAATCATGAAATTCCCTTTCACTAACTCAGTGCATAAAAGCGAATAAAAAAGCAAAAGAAAAAGTTGGCAAATAAAGACAAAATTTGCCACGTACAAGACCGTCTTCATGTGTCATTTTTGATCCAGCAACAGTCACTTGCTAGGTCCAAGAAATCATATCCTCTAGCCTTACATATCGACTCGATAATTAAATGATTTCAAGTTATTTTTTTACGAAAAAACTATCTTCATTGTAGGTCATATTTGATGGGACAAGAGTCACTTTCTAGGTCTGAGAAATCATCTCATTCAGCCTAACATAATCATCTTGCGAAGTGATAAATATTTTTTAAAATTAGTTTTTTCATGCAAACATATCTTCATAAGTCCTGTTTGATGGGACGAGAGTCACTTTATTAGGTTAGCATCATCTCCTTCAGCCTACCGCATTTGTCTCGATAATAAATAAAATGAATTGGAATGTGATTTTTTACGCAAAAATGTCCTCATCACTTGTCAAATTTGATGGGACGCGAAGCACTTTGTTAGGTTGAAATTACATTTAGTGTCAGCCTAACTGACTCGACTTGAACTAAGCCACAAAAAATGAGAAAGATGATGAAAATGTTGGTAAAGGATGATAACAATAAAATGTATAAAAATGTTCAAACAGAGAAACGGAGCTTTTTTTTAATTCACTCCCGCAAATTAGATGTAATTCACATTTTTACGTCGAGGTATAAATTTAATTTCATCTTTTCCATTCCTTTTCATTTCTCAATCATCCTAGTCATCACTTATCTTCATCTTTCATCTTTTTTTTCTACTCTCTGCTCTTCTCCCAATTCTCATCACTTCTTCACTTTTCATTTCTACTCTTTATAAGTTGAATGTGAATTGAAAGATCCCTGAAGCCAATCTAACTGCAAAAGGAAACTCTCTAATCTAATGTACCTTCATCATCCTCATCTTTCTTTCTCCTCTTTCTCTCTCAATTTAGCTTTTTTAGTTTTCTTTAGATTATGAGCTGAAGTTCATCTGTACGCTTTGTGATTCAACATAAAATTTGTGATAGACAGGGAAGGAGAGAAACTTTTACTTTTTTTATTTTCAGATGATATTTTTACAGTCCAAGTTGACTTTGCTTTAGCTGAAACAGCAAAGACTCTTTTGTTAGCCTCTTTTTTTTAAGCAAATATCACAATTTTTTATCATCACAACTTCCTCCTGTGCTTTGTCATCATCCTCACCTCACCAAGTCTCGCATCTTCAGGCCAATTTACAAAGTTGAACTCTCTCGAGATTTATCATTCCTGGGTCATCCTATTTTTTATATACTTTGATTCGCCTTCAATTTATTTTACTTTTCATTTCATATCATATTTTCATTCCTTTTTACTTCTCCTTCATCATTTTTTCTCCTCCATCTTCCCCTGACTCTATCACCAAACATTTGTGTTGACTGATTATATTTTACTCTCAATCTTTGTCAATATCTATCCATATTTACAATCTGATTCAAAGCAAAAATAAAAACTCAAAAAAAGGTCAATTTTCTCAACTTTTACTACAATTGTTGCAATGTAAATCATTTTTCATTTGACTTGAAAACATTTAACCAAAAATTGCAAAATACTTTCATCCTTTCAAGAAAGTTCAATGAGTCAACTGTCCAATTTCAGGCCAAAAAATTTCATTGAAATTTCAAATTCTTTAAGCAAAAGCCAACCTCCAAAGTTTCAATGTTCAGCATCTATTAATCTGAAACTCTTTCACCTTTTATCAGATAATCCATAAAGAAAGCAAAACTTGTTGAAAGAAGGTTAAAAATTAAAATTTGAAACATTCTTTTCGTTCATTTATCCTGTGTTCAAATCTCAGTAAATAAACAATGAATCATTTCAAGTCTGACGTCTTCAGGTTAGGTCAGGTTAAGTTAGATTGGGAACGACTCGAATGTTGACCGAACAACTGAAGCTTTATCAATCTCTTTTATCATTTCAACTCAACTCCAGAAACTCAAAGACTGATGAGAAAGTATAATAATCTTAATTTGATTAAACTAACCATTTGCATCGCTCTTGTAATAAAGAGTGATCCATAAATAAAGTCTTCAGATAATCTTTCAATTTATGAAAAGATAATTTCGAACTCAAAAACTTAGCCAAAGTTGAGCTTGAACATTCGGAATATTTTGTGATTGAGTAAAAACTTTCATTAAAAGGCAGTTGATTAGATAATGTTTAAGCAGTATTATGCTAATATGTGCCAATGATTTGAGTTACTTTACGTTGATTACATTGTTGCTATCACATTATGAATTAGGTTGCTCTATCTTTTCCTATTATCATATGAAAATGAAACTAAATTCTCATCAATTCCTTTCTTCGGTTATGCTTTCTCCTTCATCTTCCCTTCATCATCATCTTCAGTCCAATTCTTTTCGATTGACTGTCAATCTTGCTTTGAATCCATCTTAGTGGGACAATAGGTAAACTCATCTGATTGCACCATAAAAGCTTGTAGTGTGTAATAGACAAGTAACACTGATTGAGAGATGAGAAGTGACATGCAAACACATCATCTTAAGAAGATGATAATGATAAAGAAGAAGAAGAAGAGAAGCAAAAGGCGTTTACTAAATCATCATTGACAACAAAATGAAAAGACCCCCAACTTATCGGCATCATCATTGATCCCAGCATCCAAGATGAGCCTAAGCTCAACACTTGTTCCCTATGTGAGTTGCCCTTTGTAAAGCATCAAAATCACTGACAACAATAACTACCTTCAAAACCATGTAATAGACCACCTTGAACAATATTTTTTTTACCTCAAAAAAAAGTTGTTCTTCGTTTCAACATTATCGGTCAAATGTTCATTTTCATCTTTTCTCAATTACATTTTCACCTTAATTTGTCTCATCATGCATTTTATCTGCAAATAAAGTATTCAAGTTATTAATAAATTATGTTGAATAAGTGTTGCTCAAGTTTGGGAAAAACAAGGAATGATTCACAAATGACATTGCAATTGATTAAGTTTACAATGTTTCAAGTTTTCAGGGTTACAGGGAGAGAAAGCCATCAGAATTTGATAATTTCGAGATCATTTCTTTCTGCCCTTTTTTTCGCTCTTCATGAGTAAACATGAAGATGAGAGTAGAGATTGAAGATAATTCATTGGTTTAATGGATGAAAGTATAAAATGCAAAGAAGAGCAAGTTTGACAAGAAATGTATGTAATAGGAACCAGAATTTATTAAAACTCTTGATGAATCTTTTTCAGGCCAAGGCAATGGGTAAAGAGTAGAGCATTGAGAAGTAAAAAATCGATGGTTCAACCTCTTTTTTTCATCTTCCCTTTTCTCATTACATCATCTGACTCTTTTTTTTGCTCTTCTTTTTCCCTTCTCTTCTCTTGCTCATCTTGATGTTTCAAAACTACAGATAAAAGGTTTGATCATGATGACTGCCTTTGCTCGAGGTTCCTGGAAACATGAACAGAATGCTGATTGGATGAAGATTGGATCAACTGATGATGCTGCGCAAAAATAAGGCAACACACAGAAAAATGGTTATCTATTTTGGTGAGAAGGAAAACAATTCCGTTGGAATTGAATCACTTTTCCGGAAGCAAACACAAGTAAAAAATGAAGCCCTATAAACGAATTTTCAGTAAGTTCATGATGATGATGATGGGAGATGATAAGTTTTGCAAAAGAAAAGAGTTTTTTCTTCTTCTTCTCTCCTCAAATGAAGATAATGATGATGAGTTTCATTATTGTGTTGATGTTGTGTTGTGTTGGCGACTTGCTGCATCTCCTGCTGTTGTTGATGATAATATTCATGTTCATCTGTGGAAAGGCTAGTTGAAATGACATGGGATGGAGAATGATGAAAACTCATGTCCAACTTGAATCAAAGGTTGAGAAGAAAGTATTATCTTTTGGTTGAACCAAAATGAGGTTAGAATTGGGTTGATTTCAGGGTTCCCTTTCTTGTTCCAAAAATGATGATAATGATGATGATGATCATAATTTGATGGAGATAAGAGAAAAAACTTTTTCTTCTCTCAATCATCTTTATTATCTTCTTTTATTCTCTTCTTCTTCTTCTTCCTTTTTTTCTGCTTCTCTTCTTTAAACGGTTCTTCTTCAATTTTACTTTGAACCAGAGAGGTTAAACTTTTAGCCCACCTTTTTCATGTAACCAAAGGAAAAGCTCAATAATTTATGATATTCAATCTCATGTTATCCAGAATGAACAGAATGAATGAAAGAAGGAAAAACAAAGGCATCATCATTATCATCAGTTCTCTTCATTGAATATCCAAACCTCAAACCTCTTTTATTAATATTATATCAACTAATTTCATGTTCAATCTTGGACTTCTTTTTCTTTTTCTTTTTCCTCTTTTTGCACAGTTACACATTTTGGCCCAAGTTTAACCTAAAAGTACCGAATAATGAGGTAAAAAGGGAAAACTCAGACTACTCAGAACTACTCATCAAGACCGCCTTCTTCATCTTCACTTCAATGATCAAATGGACAGAAAAAGGAAAATAAAAAGATGAGGCAAAAACAATCATTCCATGTTCAATATTTGCTCAGCTAAAATGGAATAAGGTAAAGATGAAAATCTGTTGCAAGCACTCATTTTGCTTCTCCAACTTTTCAATGTGATCAAATGGATTTGTGAAGAGCCAACTCGTGGTTAAAGGTAATTACGATGAGAAATGAGCAACTCTGATAACAGATAAAAGCAACTCCAAGAAGAGGCAAAGAACTAAATAACTCAAGATAAACTCCAAGTTGAACTGAATAAGCATTTAAATTATTTTACTCTAGAGTCTATTTTAACCTCTTGTCTTTTTTTACATCGTTCATCCTTTACAAGCCAATAAAACTGTGAACCAAGATGAAGACCATTATTGGCAATCTAAGTGATTGGTAAAGTTTACCGCAAATGATTAAAAATGTATTGATATCCATAATGTATTTAGGTTTGTGGCTGTTGAGGTCAATTGATTGCCAAAAGCCTCATCATTCTTGACCCAACCAGCAACTCGCCAACAGCGACCCTTGGACAAAGAGGAACCCAGAAAGTAAAAAGAAACGAAAAGTTACATTAATTTACTTTGGTAGCAAAAAAAAGTGCATTATAAATTATTCACTTCTCTGCGCTTTTCAAATACTTGTAATTCAATTAGATGCACCAGAAATGATGATGAATAAAATGATGTACAGATCGAATCCACGTAGTAAATGAATAAAAAAAACTTAAAGTTAATGTTATTATCCAAGTGATGCAAGTTTTGTAACCTTTACATTTATCAATGCTAACTGATTTGATGCTTTTTAGCCTTTCCTGCAAATTGGCTTGTCTCGAGCTTCGACCTTTTTTTGGTTAACTTTTTTTTCTTCATCTTCTTTATCGAGGTTAACCTCTGATCTTGCCAGTGATAAGCTGACAACAAAGGTGCCAAGCGTGGCTAATAGAGATGAAGATGGAGCGCACTTTTTAGCGCATATGTTGTCATGATATACGTGATGACAAAGCGATTGTAATCGTTTGCTCTTCTCTCATTGTAATGGTGCCAATTGTGTTGATTTGACAAAACTTTTTCTTCTCTGGTTTGGGTTTACCTTGACGCTTCTTCTGTTGCAACCCTATTGTGTCCAAGTGTCTCTAACCTTAGTTCCCGTTGATTACTTGCAATTGGTCGACAAAAGGAAACACTAACAATAATTAAAAGTGATTCAATTGGTGATTGATAATGATCATGTTTACCAAATCATTTCTCTGTCAATTATAAATCATCATCAATCATTTGAAAACCAAAGGCTAAATAATTTAATAACATTTATCATTCATCATTATTTCGTGATTTGCGTTTCTCTTTTTTTTACCACTTTTTTCCTTTCCATCCGTCTTTCATGTCTCACCATTTACTCTAATTATTCAATTGAACACTCAGTCAATCAATCAACTTTGTAATTTTATATTTTACTCATTTGTTGAAAAATTGCTATTAAATGCATCATTTTCAATTTAATTGTGTCAAAGTTTTCGCGTTGTTACGATTAAATACAGTTGTCAAAGTTTATGGAAATGCATTTGTTTCAAGTTGAGATGAACAATAATCATGCAAAATAACTCGATGAGGCTCTTGACTACAACATTAAACACTGTTGGAATAGATTGAACATTTCAATGGAGTGAATAGTGATTTCAAATCAACATCGCATGTGACTACACCAATAATGCTGACCAGATTCTGAAAAGTCATTAGAATTGAATCAATTGCAGTCATAATTATTGCCATTTATAACTTGGTCAAGTCTCGTCGGTAAAGGTTGATACAAGATTTTCATCTAATCAATGTTGGAATCGTCTTTTCTCAAAACTCTTTTTTGTTCATCTAATGTGAGCTTGATAAAGTGAAGCAACGAAGTGAAATTGAAACTCGAAAAATGACTCTTGAAGTTAGATTACTTTAAAATTTTTATTACATTTCACTATTGCGATCTATTTCAATCTTGAGTTGAATTTTCAATTTTGCAGCTAATTAGTTAATTTGTGTTAAACTGATGAATATTGATGAGTTTTCATACTAATTTATCGATATTAATTAACTAATCTTTATTATAATAATCTATTTTTTCGTTCTCATCTTTTTCTTTTTCTTCTTCTAATTATAATAACTTTCAACTTTATTATGATAATATTAATAGTAACTTTTACTTGATTAGCATGAAAACATTGTATTACTAGCGTGTATTACATATACATACATCAACATATCAATAAACAACAATTATTAAAATGAATAAATGTTTGTTGATTTAAACAATTAATTTGCACTTTTAATTGAATTAGGTTAAACACTTCCGGGAATCATGAAACTCTCAAGAAAAAAGGTGAACAAAATGAAAGTGAAAATGAATGTAGAAGAAGATGAAAAATGCAAAAATTGATCAACAATTTATTCAATATATAAACACATTTTTTTCTGCTCTCCATGTTTTAATCATTATTATTAATATAATCAATGATAAATACTGTTATTAAATATTCATTGGTTAACCTTGATTTTCATGAATGCAAATGAATACGATTTTTTGGAAAACAAAATTCAATGTTAACCATTTTTGTTCAGCCAATTTAACTCATTTTCACATTAAACATTTTACTCTAGTTGACAAAGAAAAAGTTAATCATTTTCAATTGAAACTGAATCATGAGATGAAATTAAGAAGAAAAAGTTTTCTCTCTTCATCAATCATCAGAACTTTCAATGGATAATAATTTCTGTTGACTTTTTTGTTACATTAATGACTTTATGAAGATAATGTTTGAAACCATCAACAGGTAATGATGATGTTTCAGGGCAAAAAAAGTTATCATCAACTTTTGGCGATATTTCTCAATATAACAAGCTGAGTTTGTTGACAAGCTCAAGGTTGTCAAAGGTAACTTTGCCTTCTTCATTTGCAAGTTGGAAACTTTGAAAACTTTTTTTTCTTCTTCTCTTGCTTCAACTTTACCTGTTGTACTGGCATCAAAGTAGACCAGGTTATATTCATTTCATTAGGCACCCAACATGTACGTTTAGACGTTTTACAAACCTTTTCTGTTGCTCGATTTATGACAGCTCAAGCTACCTGTTTTTTTTGCAGAGTTTACCTTTATTCGTTTCAACATCTTAAGGATTTAACCTCTCATCCTTCCCTTCACAAGATGCCAGTTGAGTCAACCCCTCCCACAAAATACGCTTGAAATGTCATAGACTCAGTGTGAAGCCATCATGATGATAGCATGATATGGTTACCTTTTTCAATCTCTTTTTCTTCTTCTTCTTTGTTATTACCTTTTCTTGCTATTACTCACTTCAAGATTATGCTATTTATTTTCATCTTCCTTCTCATCATCTTTTTTTGGGTCAATCAAAGTGTGCAAAAAGCTATGAGACGTTGAAACGAAATCAACGATTTTTTCCATCTTTAAATTTTCCTTTATTTTCTTCTTTTATTTTCTGTTGCACTCAAAAGTAGAGTCTTTTTGGCTTTCGGTTCAAGCTTAGCTTCTCGTGACTTGTCCTAATGAAATACTCTTTTTTTATTCATCATTAATCTGAATTATTGAACATTATTCTTGAAACTGAAGAAAACTTTGAATTTATACTTTAAAAATGGTCTTTTTACAGTTTAAATAGAGTTCCGTTTTCATGGTAAATTATGGTTTCAAGATTGACACTCAAGTTGAAATAAATTATGAGATGAAAGTTTAACGCAAGATTAAAAGTGAAATTAATAACTTACAAGTTGAATGAAAAAACTTTTAAACTTCAAGTTATTACTTGTGAAGAGTAAAACCAAATGTAAGCTAAAAAATGGGCTTTAAAGGTTCAGATGAATCTTATCCTAGCAACTGTTTTCATAGAAAAAGTTTTTCTAATTGCATCTCATGGTTTCCATGAATTTACCTAGTACAACAGTCGGTCTCGACTTGAGTAAAATATTCATTTCAACTTTCGAAGTTGAGTTACATAAAAAATGTTGACAAATGGATATTCATCAGACATGAAGGATAAAGAAGTTTATCTCAATCTTTTCAGATCAATGGACAAACTCTTTTATATGGTCACCCTGTCCGTTGAGATTAACTTAACCACCTTGATCAGTCCTCATTGTCATCGTCGTAATCAGTCGAGGCTTGAAGAAAAAGCAAGTCAAATAAGCAAATGTAAATGCAAGTGTGGAAGGAGGAAAGAAAGTGCAAGATGAAAATGACTGATCAAATGAACATCAAAACATTCAATATTATTAGATAACATGGTTGGCTAGTTTACAATGGATTGGCAAGTAAATTTTGCAGAACTTTTCATGAAGGCAAAAGACAATGATTAAGATGAGCTAAAAATATCAATCTATAAAAGAGAGAAAAGGAAAAATTCGAAAAAGTTATTCGTTGTTATGTTGTAGTCATCATGGAAATGGAAACTTTTATACCTTTCAGAGTCTCTAATAACAGTTTAATAATGAGTGAAACTGGACTTGACTTTACCAATGAAATTGTAATGAAGGAAAAGACTTGCCAATCAATTTATTATTGATCATATTAAGCGTATCAATTTCCCTTTCTCAAGCCAACATGGTAATGATGATAATGATCATCATTTTATCCGCTCAATACTGGGTCATCTTTGATGCTCTACGGCCAATGTTGGCAACCTTTCAACCGACCCAATGATTACAAAAGACAAGTTTAGTTCCGGTTATCAGATTCACAAGTTCCGGATGAGCTTTGTTATGCTAAATTTCCTTGATTGGGTTATCATTTCATTTATTATTATAAATCCATTTATTGCTATTAATAATATCATTAAGAGGAGAAGACCATTAAACCAAGAACAATTTTATCCATCATTAGAGACAAGAGAGAGAAAAGCTGAAAAACAAAAAGTAAAATGTTCAACTGAAAACTTCTGGTAAAGACAGATAACAATGAGAATGCTTGGGAATGAAAAGACGGTTGACTCTTTAAATGATGAAGGCAAGAGATAAAAATTGAATATCATTTTGGTTAAAGATTAAGTTTCGTTGGTGGTTTTGTTTCATCTTGATTATTGGTAAAATAATAAAGGTTCATAATGATGATGATGGTAAAACAACAGAAGAAGAAGAAGAGGAGAAGAAAAAAAGTTTTGACTTAACCTGAGGCTCCATGTTTTCACTGTATTCACACTGGCAACAAATGTTAATGATAATGGATTCAAGGTGAGGCTTGAATTAATTACTCAACACACCCAAGATCAGAGTCAAGTTTAAAAGAAAACACAAAAGTGAACCAAAAAGTACGGTAAGAAGATGAGACAATTATAGCATCGAGTCGTCTTCAACCTTCAATTCCCGTTCTATTAGTAACATTATCGCCCGCATGTTTACCTTTACCTGATGGGTCAATTTGTATCATCAACTGATCGCAACTTTGCATTCGCATTGCAAGTCAATCGCTTCAACTTCAATCAATCATTCAACGAATCAAATTGAACAAACATTTGAAATGCTCGAAGCTTTGGTTGAGTTTTCAACTTGGACTTGAGATTATTTTTCATCGGCTTCAACGGCCAATGTTCAACTTTTATGGAAAATTTAAATTCCCTTTTTGCATCAACATTCTGTTTGGTGGCTCCATCTTGAGGGTAGAATTTTATTTTTTTTTTGCCTTCTTTTACCTTGCATTGTTTCATTGTTGAACATTATTAATGATTATGTTTTTAATTAGATT